TCCGAAAGAACACTCGAACTAAAATGCAACTGTACCATTCAAATCGTTAGCTTCTCGGTTACCAAAAGTAATAAAAATTTAGTCAAGTTAATTTGGAAATTTAATATTGAATAATTGTAATAAGACAGAAGGAAATTCACGAACAAATTCATGAATGAAAATGTAGGATTTAGTTACTAACTCACCTTTTATGGCTATTTCCTTACAACAGATCCTGTATTGAATTTTTCTTTTTCCCGTTGAATTTTGAAGCCACCTTTCAAACTGTCACAACCTCCTTCTTCTTCGCCCGCAGCCGGCATCCGCACCTTATGATTTAGTTATTAAAATTCTTGTTCTTCGACAGTAGTTGTTCCTTTTGCTTCTGTTAGAATTGTATTCACCAATAATCTTAAGTTTTCTACAGAAATGTAATCCGTAATTTTTGTTCCAGTTGGATGGCAAAAAATCCAAGTCGTAGCTGTCAAATACCGCCGTTGATGTTGTCCTCCAACACAGTCGCCGATAATGTTGGTTTCTGGCCAAAAAAGTCCTTTTGATGGTTAGCGGTTTGGGAACTTTGATTTTAGGGAGTCAGTATGTGAATTTGGAAGGGGTTCGTGGAGTGATGGTTGTGATCGTGGTTGTATTCGTTGTGGAACCAATGAATCCGGAAGAACTGTGGGATTTGTTATTGTGTTTTTTTCACTGTTTATTATGTGGAGTGATTTGCATTATAGATTTTTGAACATCATTTGAGGTATTCTGCAGTCAGAGTGGCTGAATTTTAGGGATTAGGAAAAGTGAATTGACATTGTTAGTAATAATATGATTTTGGGCGGGAAAATTTGAATTGTGAGTGTGACATGCTAGCATAGTTTTAGTTTGTAGTTTTTACTACAACGGAATAATAATATAATTATATATTAGAATTCTCCTTTAGTTTGGACTTTTAAGGTTTTTTTTTCTCCCATTAAGGCTAATCCAACGAGCATCCTTGATTTTATATTTTGTTAAAAAATTAATAATGATGTAGTGTTAAAGCTTATCCAAAATGAAAATTATCATACAAAATTTTTCTAGAAATTCCATGATAGTCCTAAACCAACTGTATGATAGAAAATAATCTATATATTCCTATATAATTACAATAAAACAAAGTTTACCTATATTATTCATACATATGGAAAAGACTGTAGATATGAGATTGACAATCCGTGAAAATATCTTTTTTGTTTTTCTTCTTGTTAATTTGCATGTATCTCTTAAAATGATTGATATGAGTTTACTATGTAAAATTATTAACTTTATAGCTATTTCTAACTTTGGTTCAAATTTTTGATATGGATAGTTAATGAGTATGAATTGTGAATTCTAACTAAGAGAGTGTGTTTGATAATTCCGCTTAATGCTTAAAATTATTTCACTAAGTAATTATTCATTTTTAGTATTTTTTATTACAAAAAACGAACATCTTAATAAATTAAGTAGTGCTGAAAATGCAATACAAAAATATAAGCAATAAAAAAGTTAGGTTATTGCTTATTCCGTATCTACTTCATGAATTCAACATTCTGATTCAGTATTAAACATTCAGAGTTCAGCAAATTTTAGCAAACATGCCCCAAGTTATTTGAACATGGTAATATTTTGAAAATTTACAAGGAATAATTTAATTATTTTCTAGTAGGGGAATTAAAGCTATAGATGACCAGCTCCCCCCTCTCTCCTAAAACCACCCTCCCAGAAAAATACCTCCTCCCATCCACCATTAACGGTGGTTGGGAGAGCCATTTTTAATTTTTAATTTTACTTTTATTTCTTTTTTTTTTCTTCATTTTCCTTTTTCAAGCGTCACCATTAACATTGCTGGCTGTTGCTGACCACCGGCAACCACCACAGATCCAGAACGACCGCCGATTGGATAGGCCCAGATCTGTCGATTGCTATTGCTATCGATTGCCAACATGTTGCGTTGGCCGTCTCTCTTGCTACTGAATTAAGATTGATCGAGGAATCTAGGATCACCGACGAATCTATCGAGCCTGCCAGAACCCCCGGCGACTCTAGATGGACAACCGTTCACGCGTCTCTGTTACATAACACAGCTCCTGCACCCCAACCATCATGATGGTTGCAGATTTGATTTTTCAGATCTGATTTCCAGGAGAGATCTTCCATCTCCAGTCTCTGGTCCCTGGCCTCCTCTGGCCTCAATCAGTTCCTGACAGTCCCTGCTCCTCTGCTCAATCTCCGAACAAGCTAAGCCGCCCGCTTTCGACGCTGCCAATTCGGAATTGGCACCGATCACACTTTCAACGCCTTCATATTTCAATTGTTCCAAACGGTTCTGCCGGTCCCAGCAGGTCCCGAACACTCTTGTCGTGCCAGCCCCCTCTCGTTTGCCAACGAGTTCAGACGCGTTGTCTCTGGTTCACAAGTTTCAGACGCGGCCAATTCAGTCCAAATCTGGTTGGAAGACCAGATCTGCTTCATTACCCAAAAATAGGTTTTCTAGCCTCAACCCGGTTAACCTCCCAAGTATAAAAAAGCTGGTTCTCTGGCTCGCTCATACAAAGTCGATTCGTCGGCTCTTTCAGAAAAATCGGTTTCCAGGAAACCGATCACTTTGGTATATAAATGACCTGTATAGGATTATGGGTTAGTTAATTTAGACTTGTTGACTGTCGACACTTATGCAAGTGACAACTTGGAGGCAGTGATTCCAAATTCTCTGTATATCACTCAGTGTTCGGGATTCTCAAATATGCCCACCAAATGCGGCAATCCATGAATGATGATCCGAAAGATGCGAATCACGGTTATAGAGAAAATGATTACTATCCTCTAGCGCAACACTTGACTAATGTCTCTGACGGAAACAAGTGTATTACCGGGAAGTCTTTCTTTCGATACAGTTTACTAGTTTTCAAATCACCGTCATGACATGATAGTTTCTCATTGTACGGGATAAGTCTTAAGCACTGTCCCAAGAATTGTTTGCTCTATTAATAAATTTCTCAGGTACTTACCTCGTTTCATAAAAAAAAAATTAATTAAATTCTAAACTATCCACCAAACTTAAACGATAAATCTTAAATCAAGAATCGGTGTAAAGCGTCTTTGCTTGTTTATTGCTAGAGAAGTATTCTTCGAGAATTCTCGAACTTCTTTAGTCCATTTTTTTTAGTAGCCAGTCAAAAGTAATTCTGTCTTGTACTCTGTTATTCACATGAAACATCAATATCTCTGCTAAAAAAAGCTACAACTGTCAGCTTTACAACAAATTGCAGTATTAATTCCAAAGTGAAAATAGGAATTACAATCTCAGAAGCCTACGAGGCCGTATCTTTAACCTTTCTCTTCGAATTCCTCAGTAAATCTCTCATGCACCTCGATATCAGATTTGCTCACAGAGGGTCTCTGTCTCTCCAAAACTTTATCAAAGTCCGACTTTGATATTGATGGTGGCATAATCTTGGCACCAAGACCTTTACCAGCTAACTGCTTCATGGTAGTCTCGATGGCACCCGGCCGCTTAGGTCCACAAGGCACCCACAAACCACTTTGAGTCTTAATAAAGAACATCGCATCTTGAGTCTTTCTTAAAGGCTCGAAGAGGAATCCTTGACACAAATAGAAATATCAGATCCTGAAAATCTGTTTGTTTTACGAGTAAAATCTTCAAAATCACTATCAGTCAAGTCATGAGGTGTATCACCTAAATGAAACTTGAACAAATGCTGCCTTGCTTTCAGGTCTGGTAGGGGAATATAAATGCGCTTATCAAATCAACGCCTAATAGCCTGATCAAGAGCATAAGGAGTATTCATTGCTGCTAGAAAAAGGACTTTCTCATTGTTGTGGCCAACACCCTGCATCTGAACAAGAAGCACTGTCTATACGTCTTGATGCTTCGTGCTCATTTCCTTCGTCACGCTGACCGCACAAAGAATCAATTTCATCAACGAATATTATTGAAGAAGCACTTTCCTGAGCCATTTGGAATAACTTCTCACTCTCCCCATCCACTTCGACACTAGGTCTGAGGATGAAACACTATAAAAAGTCGAGTTTAACTCGGTAGCAACAGCTTCAACTAAATATGACTTTCATGTCCCACGTGGACCATATAAAAGAATAGCTCTCCATGGGCACCTCATCCATTGGAAAAACTGGGGAAATAAAACTGGTAAGGAGACCGCCTCTTTCAGGGTGGTCTTCACCCTTGATAGACCCGCAACATCATCCCAATGAACATTCGGTTTTTCCTTCATTATGGTCGTTGGTAGAGTTTCCCGGAGTTCATCGCCAGCCACACCATTCCCACCACCGCGCTTCTCATTGTCTTTACAAATAATCTTTTGGGACTAGTGGTTCCGACCAACCTCAATCTCTTCCGCATGACGCAGGAATTTAAATCATGCGGTGAAGGATTCAGAGATCCGTACGCCATACTAGATCATATGTTTATGAAGTTGAAGCACTTTAAACGGGAGGAAAAATATGAGGTTTAGGTTTTCAGGGAAAAAATTGGGTCTTTAGTCCATTTTCTAGTAATTCTTTTAAATTCATTATTATTATATTTCACATGTTTATTAGTTTATTATGGTCGAATTCATTATATACTCCCTGTGGCTCTTACTAGAATCATTTTAATTTGTCATATGTTTTGTTTGATATGTTCTTCCAATTGAAAATATACTAACTGAAATTTAGGATAAATCAAAATGCCTTATAATAAGGATCGGAGGGAGTAGTTGTTGATAATTAATAACATTTTTTTTTATTTTTAGTTTAAAACTGGATATGAATTAAATACCCCATTTTGGAATTATTATAAAATTAAATAAAACTACTACAGTACTTTTAGAGTAAATTCTTTTTTCTCTTACACAAACTGCTCTGTTTATTTGTGAAAAAAAAATACAATAAATAGGAGAAATTACTTATTAATCATTGAGACCCAAAGGTAACAAATCGAAAAATTAAAGGACTAAAACGGGATTCTATCAAAACGCGGGGGATCCTACGGCAAACCGTCAAGGCGTCAACACCGTCTTCAAATTCTCAACGCTTCGCAGCAGAAATCAGGACAGAGGAAAAGAATTCTTCGGCAAAGAATGGCTTCTTTTTGGTCTCTGAAGCAGACAATCTTCGACAAAGAAGCTCGAAAACGGTTAGTTTCCTTCGTTCCTGTTAATATTTTTCCCCAATAACTTTAACAATCCATAGGAAAAGCAGAAGTTTTAAGAAAATTATGGATGAAGAATGTCATGTTTATATATATTTTTTCCTTAAACTAGGCAATATCAATCTTACATCAAAGGCCTCAACGCTTACGATCGTCACAAGAAGTTCATCGATGACTACGGTTAGTTTTTCCCTTTTCCCCCTTCTCTTTTTTGTAGTTTTGTTCAATGTACTTGTTGTTCCATTTACTGTTTTTGGGGATTTTGAATATCAATGTAAGGAAAATTCATGAAAACTGGGGAAGCTGATTCTAAATGATGAAACATGAAAGGGGCTTTATCAAACAATGCATAGAATTAGGTCTTAGAATTTGAAACTTTTTCGCATTTGTTTGCCTCGGATTTCTATGTGAGAGTTTCATGTTTTACTCTGAATGGCTGTTTATTAGGGATATACACTTTGTTTTTGATTGCTGAGCATATAATGCTCTAGACTGTACTTTTCGTGTTTGAAGTTAATTTTATTCAAGTAATAAGAGGCGGACTCTTGGATTTGTTGCTCCTCTGGAAATTGCTAAGGATTTAGGTGAATGAGTGTCTAGATTGTACAGTTTCTGTTATTGTTAATCTCTTTGGTAGTTGCATGTATTTCTTTTCCATTTGAAATTGTTATTCTCCATGACACGATAGGACACAAGGACACCACAGATAATGAGCTATCTACCTGTTGGTTCCTTTGTCCCATATTATTTGAGTGAAGAACAGTCTCCTTCTTTGAAGTGGGAAGGAGGCTACATTCGCCCAAACATTTTATGATTGTATTTCCTGAAAGAGCAAGGTCGTTTTTTGCTAACATTGTGGAGATGCCGTTTTGTTAAACTTTTCGAGTACATTGTGATTACTTTTTTTTCTTTGTCACAGGGAAAGAGTACTTTAAACTCAATCTTGATTTTCAAATTCCGTGGATTCGGACTGAAATTTTCTTTACAACTCTATTTTCTGTCTGAAATTTTCAACTCTATTTTCTGACTGTTGCTGCTAGACTTAGAGAATTAAAGAAGCTACAAGAAAGAAAACGGCTGAATCGTCTTCTTGTTTAACTATTATTGTTTTGAATTTAGATTGAGCGTAATTAACAGTAATACAAATTTTACTGAGCTGTCAATATTGTAAGAAAGTATATTGAGAATTAGAAATTAATAATGCTTTGAGAAAGTGTCTCATGATTTGGGTTTTAGTGGAACTCGGAAAAGATTTTCATTTGGAGCGACTGTGGATACAAGGCCTAAAAGACTTCTAAAAACTAAAATTCTCCTACAAACAGAATTTCCTTTATTGTTTTCGTGAGATCCTAACGTGCGATCTTTATTTTTCTTAGTTCGAAGTAAGATGATTTCCAACTTTCCTAGTTTCAGATATCTTTTTGAGCCCCGAAGGACTGGATGTATTTTACTGTCTTCCATGACTTGCTCTTCAATTTTCTCTCCTTATTTTTGTGAAAGAACTCCTACTTTGTAGTCAGCTGTGCTGTTTAAGTTATATCTGCATTTGGATAATTATATTCACATGGGTGACCAATGCCTAAGAATGAAAATCTATGCGACTATACACTCTCTGGGGTCCCACTGCAACTGGACGAGCTCCAATGTTTGTTTCTCATTTGTTGGCAGAAGAGTATCCCAGGAGTTGTCCTTGGCCTTTCGTGTCAGATTATTGTTTTGATCAAGATTAGAACTCTTATTGGAACTGATTTGGCTTTATTTCCAACTGGAAATTTCATTAGGAGAAGAGAGAACAGAGAGCTCTATATTCTCAAACTACAATGCTTTACTGTGGTATAACAGTCAACATTATCCTAGTAAAGATAGTATGGTTGCTTGTAACTCCCTATTCTAATTGTTATCAGTATCATTAACTAATAGAGAAAATATTTGTATTTTTCAATTTCATGATTATCGGCTTTTCATCATTGAACAACTAAATTTTATTGTTTGGAGTTAGTTCCTATGTGATTCTTATAGCTTTTGATGATCTTGTTTGTTTTACAGTTGACTTCTACGGCAAAGAGGGATCTGTACCAGAAAAGTTGCCTGTCAAAACTGACCAGGATACTCTTAGAGAGGGTTATAGGTACGCAAAGGTTCTCTCTTTAACTTAAGAGAAAATAAAAGCCCTTCATTTATTCTTTCTCATCCTTTTTCTGAGGTCGGTTATATTGATATCAGCTGTCATGTATGTCAATGCTCTATCTATGTACATGTTTTAAGTTTAAATAAACTGTCTTTTCTATAGTTTCTTCTATTTCTTTTTCTGTCTTCCTCCTCTTCTTTAAGTTGATGATTCTCTTTTATGAAACATTTGAGTAATGAAACTATTTCGTGTGGTTACAACTTTATCAACTAAAACATCTGTATTTCCATTTTTGAGACATTTTCTTTTGAGGTTGATATCTTAAAGATATTTAAAATTGTGTTTAATCTATGCACCAAAAAAAGTGTATAAATCTGCTCCGAAAGAAGTTATGTTTAATCTTGTCTTCACTTTCTGGATTAATCTTCATATTTACCCTTTTATTCTATCCCGTCTAATAATTATTGTTTTTTTTGTTCTTTGGCTGAAAGGTTTATACGGACAGAGGAAGATGATTTGGATCCTTCCTGGGAACTGAGGCTTGTTAAGCGTTACTATGATAAGCTATTCAAAGAGTATCCTTTGAAATGCTGTCTCATTTTTTAAATTTTTTTACTTGCTGATTTGCGATTCTGGTTTTTACCAATATTTTCTGCCCATTGCCTTCTGCCACATATACTCCCACTTGAAATAATTGTCCATTTTGGATTTTCATTTCTGTTACAATTTGTACTAAAAGTGAAACTCCAAACGTGACAATCATTTTGGGACAGCGAGTGATATATTTGCCTGTTTCCATTTTATCTTTTTAATAGATTTTAAGTTTGTCATGATTTGTTTATAAAGTACTACAAAATGTCCAATAGCAAACATATTGAGCATATTATTTATACACAGAGCTGTTGAGGACCCATTTTATTTCCTAAATAAGGTAGTGAGCTTTTGTAGGTCCTACTTATGTTGCTACCATTGTGTCCACTCTTGTATCAATTTGACGTCTGACATGCGAGGACATGCACATGCAAGCTTCAGGACTTGTTCCAGTGCAGTCCTAAAATCATAAAATAATCATAAGATTTAATTTGTTAACTGGAAAGCTTCTTTTAAAATCTCTTGCAGTAGTAATGACATCAAAAGATCCATGCATTAGTTTGATACTAGTGTAGAACTCGAAGAAGCTGATACAGCTTTTACCTTGTCTTTTTGTGGCATGTTTTGGTTTCTTGGAATTCGTTTAAGAATCTGGGAGCAACCTTCTTGCATATTTATATGTGTATATATATACATATATGCATATCTCTGTGTGTGTGTGTGTGCGTGCACGGGCCCTGTGTGGTTGCTCATTGATTTACTTAACTTACAATAGATATTGTATAGCTGATATGTCACTGTACAAGAGTGGCAAGGTATGTTAATGTTTCAGAGCCTTTTCACTTCCACTCATGTTTCCTATCTCCTTCTGTGGTTTTATTGAGTAGCTTTGAACATGTTAAAGGAAAAATTTACCCAAAAAAAGCTTGTAGTACTGGAAGGTCTGCTAGTGGTTTTGTATAAACGTGATAAACAGAAAACTTGAGGGAGGGAGGGGGGAGAGAGCATGTAGAATATGATAAGCATCCTTTAAACAGAAAATGAGCCTATGAATTTTGCTAAGCAAGCAATGGAACTTCTCTGACCATCAGCAAACCACCAACCCAAAAGCAGTGCAAATATTGTAGAAGTCTTCCTTTTCCCAATTTATTCCTGTTCTCTCCCTTCCCATCAAACTGAAACGAATGGAACATTTCTTTCTCTTTTAACACGTCTGTGTTTTCTGGCAAGTAAGCTTTTTAAACCAGGAAATTTGATAGAATTGGTAAAGGAATAAGAACAAAAGACGGATAAACTGAAGAGTTGATAAAAGTGGAGAATCTGGACACTTTCTTCCATAAATCAACCAACCTGTACGGACAGAGCGAGACTCATGTACAAAGGCTTGATTTTCTCAACATTTAACTGAAAGCTAACTGCCTAATAATTCAAATAACTGCTCTAACCAAATAATTGGATAATATCCCTTCCAAACTAAACATGTCGATAATCACTCCTCCACTTGGAGCTAGCTAAGGGGACAAAATGATCTTTAGTGGAGCTCACTTTTTCTGCAGTTTCTCATCCAATTCGGCAAAGTTTTCTTTTTGTTCTTTTAATTGAATATCATGTACTAGTGGTCTGAACTATTCTATTAGTTCTTAGGAAACCACGGTTTTTAAGCTGTATCATCAACAGATATTATTAGTCAGTTCTGAGATAAGAGTGATTACTCCTGGATAAGTGGTCTTGTTTCATTTCGCGTCATCAGTTTCTCATCTCTTCTGGATACTTCTGGCAGATTGGTTTGAGGTGGAGGACTGAAAAAGAAGTTAAATCTGGAAAAGGTAAATTTCTAGTTTGCTCGAGTTTATACCAAAGGTTGGTCTCAGACACAACTTGTTCTTTGGCCAAATCAACTCAGTTTGTGGTCGAATCAAGTTTATGTCAAGTGTGTTGATACTCAAGGAGTTCTGGAAGTATGCATCTTTAATTAGATAGAGGCCTAAAATGAAACAAAAGTGCTAGTTGATATCATGCAGACAGTTTCAATTGGTTTGGTTTTGAAACTCTAGGATTTCAAAAAAGCAAATTATTCACTGAATTCTCGAAGTGACGTTACGCTGGTACCTAAATTTTCCATTAATGAAGCTGAATGGACACCTTGCTAAAGTTAGAAAAGTACATGCAGATGATTCTTTTTCTACTTGAAATTTGAATGTGGTTCTTGTTTATATGTTGATTTTGGTGGTTTGTGGTTAAGATAGTAAACAAGGAGATCTGACATGTTGCCTGCCAGCTTAGAGCAAGTTGTTGCTGTGATGAAAACATTTTATAAGTGTTTTTGGAACAATGGAGTAGAGATGTATTTTGGTTTTGGGCCCTCACATTCTTTTGTGTTTTGCTTTTGGTTCCCTTGTCATGAAGCGAATTAGGTATTTTTGCTGTTGCAATTGTTTATTGCCTGTTGGGCTTTGGACTAATTTTTTTCACCCCTCGGTTGTCAGGACAGTTTGTATGTGGCAATAAACATTGCAGTGAGAAAGAAGATCTAGCAAGTTACGAGGCAAGTATCCGCTAATTTGTTATTGGTGTATTTGTTCTTTTCCTTGGTTGATGTATTTACATCTCATTTATGTCTATTCCCACTGTTGGGCATTTTGTAAAAGTGTTTACATGTCTCTTTTGCACTTTCTTATGGTAATAGTTGCCTAGCATTTAATGCAACCCACTTTCCTTTAGTATGCTCAAAGTTTTGATTGAAAGTTTGAATCACATTAAATGTAAATTACATTGTCAATTTGGACAAGAAAACAAAAATCAACCAACATATGCTAAAATTTGGAAAGGAAAAAGCAACTCAGTCGGAGTTGTTGAACTTGACATTCATGGTTATTCCGCCTCATTCCACTCGTTAGTCACATAAATGACATCATGTCTATCACGAGTGTAGGCAAACAATGGAAATTTATCAAAATGTTTACAAATGTGTAGTTCTTTTACTTCGAACTGCAAAATAGTCTCTTCCTAGTACAAAAAATAAAGGGGGAGGTGGGGTGGAATAACGCCCTATGTTTGTTTGTTTTGAACATAATCAGTGCAAATTTGGCACGGACAATCGTCAAACCTGCATATGCTGCAACCAATACAAACACATTTAATACAACCATTGCAGCTAGACTTTTGGTAACAACCCCTGTATTTCATCCGACTTTTACGCTCCTCAGCGTCATCACAAGTTATCCTGCAGAACATTGAAAAAATGAGTAAGAATCAGTTAACCTAATAGAATGGAATTGCACGCCTACTTTTGTAACCGAAACCTTAGGTAAAATTGAAGTGCTCTAAAGAAGAAACATTGCTTGATAAAGCACAACCAAAATATTAATGTTGAAGTTAATAGTAAAATAAGTAAATAGCTCAGCATGTGTTGGCACACTCTATTTTATTATATGTCACACATCTAGCTTATCATATTTCTCACTAAATGTCATATAAGCTGCACGAGTTTAGCTATTTTCAAAAGGTTATCTTAGTAAATTTTGAATCTCCAAAGTGAATTTCTGAAAAGTTATAGATCGATAGTGAAATGTTTATTACAAATTTGAGTGGAATATGTCTATTCGTACCCTGAATGTAGCTAAGGGAAATAATAAACTGACTAGGACGTGTTATAGATTGATAGCGAAGCTTACTTGTTAGATGGCATGTCTGAACATTGCCAGTCCTGTTTAAGGAAAGCGTCATGATAGATCCTGCATAACTCTTTGGTTCGACGAGAAAAACGACGCTCTTTGTTGCATTTAGAGCAACGGATGAACTCATCACGATGCACATATGGGCGGCGTAGTGGTCTTTCAAAAGTCTGGATATGGTATCTTAGTAGATTGGTTTTTCCCAAGCTGATTCTGTTTCCTTCTGTATCCATGAGCCAGAGGTGATTCTTCCAGTTGTCGATGTTGGTATTTTTCCCTAGATGCCTTGCAAACTCTACTGGTGACAAATTTACTAACATCAAAGAAAAATTCATTAGTCATAAAATAATTTAGAATGTCACTCAATGAGAATGGTACAATTAGTTTGGTGGAAACCAGAATATTTGAGCGCAAGATCTACATATATTATTCATAATTTTGTAGTAGTAGATTCTAGGTCTGTTTTGATTTTTGCTTAATATGCTTGCTATCAAATATCACCGACTCCTTTTTACTATGCACATTTATGATCACTATAATTAGCATAATTTTTTCGCAACCAAGGTGTGCAACATTTTTGGTCGGGGCATTTGCTAATCTGAAGCAAGAGATCTACTTTAACTATAATGGGTTTTTCTGAATATAGTTCCTCGCTTATCTGCACTATTTTGATCAATGTAATTTTTATTCTAAATTAGATTTTTCCAACAGGGATTTGCAATCTTCGAAGCCTTGTCATTTATGCAATTAAAATGTAGAGTAGCTAAGAGATCTTAACAAAAAAAATAATTACCTTTTGGACAATCGGAGAAACAACAGCAATCAATCTCGAGTTTTCCATCTGTGGAAACTCTTAGCTTTCCGTAGCTATCTCCATATCTTCGTAGCGTCAATCGGCACTCGATTTCAACCAAGTTTGGTTGCACCCGTAGTACTCCCATGAATCCACTGACATCTTCATTGGTGAACATATTGGATTGTGAAATAATGTAGCGATGCAACTCAGGAACTTTAATAAGAAATTTTGTAGTGTGTTGATTTTAAACGTTGAAAAAACTTATGAAATAGTTCAAAGGAAAAAAGGCTTTATATAGCAGATTAAAGTAGTCGTTGGAGTTGAACAAGTGGAGGAAGGGGAGCGGATATGGAATATAGCCGTTAGGGAGAATGGGAGATAGCTGTTGGATGTAGCCGTTGGATGTAGACTTTGGATATAGCCGTTGGATGTTGCCGTTAGATATAACGTTTGAGTTAGCTGTTGGATATAGCCGTTGGATATAGCCGTTGGATGTTGCCGTTGAATATAACCGTTGGAGGTAGCCGTTGTTTATAGCCGTTGGAGCCATGGGGAAGATAGGTGGCGATGTATCTAGACAGTGGAGTTTAGAAGACGAGGAAAGTGAGTGGATAAGATTGAGCTATTCACGAGAATGGTACTTTGAGAAATAATTAGCGGTTGGAGTACAAGAGATTAAGAAAGGGAGCGAATATAGGATTTAACCGTTGAGAAAAATGGATAGAATGGTAGAGAAGAAACTAGCTGTTGGAGTAGGATTTAGCCATTGAGGAGATTGGGGTGCATAGATGGAAAAGAAAGAGCCGTTAAAGAGAATCTGAGAGATAATTTAGAAGAAAATCTAGACAGTAAAAGGGCTGAGATAGACGGAGATAAAACAGCAAGAAACTATCCATTTCAAAGAGAAACTAGGCCTTTGAGGAGAGCTGTGCAAGATAGAGTGCTAAAAAGGAAGGTAGCCATAAGAACGAACAAATAGATAAGTCTTCCGGTAAGTATCATTTTTGTGTAGTGCGAGTGGTATATTTTATTAATGCGCTACATTTTGTCTACCATCTGTTGTCCGATCATTGAATAGTTAAAGGAACTTATGTTCTTTCCTTGGAGAACTTTTCCCTTTACCCTATTGTTTTTACCTAAAGTTTTTTCGAGGAGACAGTGAGTGCGTTATGTAGGCAATAGATCTCCCATTATTGATGTGTTGTATATTCATCAAAAAAGAAAAATAGGCATTTGCAACTTGTTACAAAAGGATTACTTAGATTGCAAAATATAGAACATGCAGTTTGGAAAAGAAATTCTTGATGCACAAATGACAAACAAGACATGACTGAAAAATAATATTGGTGCCAGAGGATCTAATTGGTCATCTGCTTTTTCTTTGTTTCATACCAATTTTCTCATATGTGCAAGAAACAAAAGTTTTATTCCCTAAGTTTTTATCTGATCATTAATGCTCTATCCCTAGTTTTGGGTTGTTCAAATATACTAATCGTTGATCCTCGTTTTCTCTATTTCATCCACGTTGAATAGTCTTTTTATGATCTAACGTAATCATGATGTTACCTTAGAAACCCTGAACTAGAAAGTTAGATGGACTGACGTTATATTTTAGTATAAATGTTTATAAAATTTTTTCATTCCTGGCCCATATAAATTTGATAAAACTGGCTGTTCTTGTAGGTAAACTTCTCTTATTTTGAAGCTGGTGAACACAAACAAGCCTTGGTGAAATTGGTTGCCTGTGAAAGGTAACATAAGGTGCTCTCGTTAGTAGCCAATTATTGGTTTTAGAGTTTGGGGACTCCTAGAAGTTGTGAGGGTGTTCATTTGTGCTACTTTATCTGTAAATTAAAATTGGAGGCATTAAATATTATCTACTAAGCATGAATCAGAAGTATATCTGATTGGGTTTGCTTATGTCTTCTTTTGGAAGGAAGATATTTCTATCTCCAATTTACTTCCAATACACATAGTGGAGGTGGTGGTTCGGACTTTGTTTATTAGGCTTGGCTATATCTATTAAAAATCGGAGCACCCAACCCAAAAAACATCAAAAAATTTTTTAACGATGATGAGGTGAAGAGTCCCAACTCCAAGGGTGGGACTCCAAGGATCTTATTAACTAGTCCTTGCTTGTTATGAACCCAATGTGAGACAAATATGTCACATCATTGATGGGGATGTCTGGGTTTGCTGAAATTCTTACTCTCTGGATCTTACGAAGTTCAACAGTTAGGACTATGTGGCTTGTAATAACGAGGTCCCTCAAATATGAAACTCCTACAGTTGAACTAGATTAGTGGTAGTGACAGCTCAGTCTGTTTCTTACTTGCAATAGGGAAATTTAAGATAAGGCTAAATCTGTCATGCACACGAGATTTCAAAAACTTTCACCATCTCTTGGTGTCCTATTATTCATCTTAGGTATTATCATTAATAAACAGCTGCATATTAGTAAACTATATTGATCCAATTAAATTGAGACCGTTTCTGCTCTATTTCTCTACCAACCTGAAATCACATCATCAGAAAATCTTCTTTTCCTAAAGCTTCTAATGAGAACTCATTCATTTTTATGCAGGTTGAAACCATATGAATCTGTAAATTGTGTCTCTGGTTATGTGTATGTGATTATGGTGTGCATCTATATCGCCGTGGCAGCTGTTTTTCCTTGGTTAAAACTAGTCAAAGTTGAAATCAGTTGTTTACTGTTGCGATAATTTTTTTTTGAGACAATGACATAATTGGTAATTGTTTAAGACAATCACTTATATTATAATGCAAACTGTTATGCATTTACTGTAGCTCATCATTAATATATGATGCTCTAGGCACCTACAAACAATCTCAACAATTCATACACATGATTTTGTTTAACGGTGTTCCATACTAGCTAATATACTCCCAAGTGAAGAGATTTTGAAAATTTTGTTTCTGTTTACTGGAGGATTCGATGCAATTTTACAGTTTTCGAGTTATAACCAGCCAGCTCTGCCTTTTAAAGTATTTGGTTAAACATCCTGCATGGTATTCTCTCTTGGGTGATAAAGCTTGAATTTTTTGTTTGCTTGTGAGTTCTATGCCCAAACAGTTTGATTTATGGAACTTGTCCATTGAGGCTTTCAGGAGAAAACTGTCAATATTATATGTTTAATAAATAAAGTTCTCACTTGAATTAAGCTTGAATTGTTTACATAAATCTGCTTCTTTTGCCTTGTGTTGAAGCAGGTGTGCTGAGAAACTTAATTACAAGAATCGAAAGGAAAAGCACCTAAAAGAGCAGGAAATAGAACATCGTCAAAGGAAAAGGTGGGCAGAATATCTATGTCTAATATCCTTTTTAAATATATATTTTACTTATTGCAAATCTGTTTAATTTCATTAATTCATGTTATTTATCCTCTATTATTTCTAGGGGGAGATTGGATAATAGTGATGATTCAGAAACTGAAATTCCCAGCAATAAGAATAAGAAAAAAGGTTTGCATCCTTCTGGTATATTTCGGCTCAGAGCAATTGCTTCATTCTGATGCAAATCTGGCTTCTAGTTATGCAGTAAAAGGCTTGTTTTCTGTATATTATTGTTATCTTTTTGTGTGTGACATAAATGGTCGAGTCAATGAATATCATTCATTCTTATCTCTGATCCAAGTCCTGTTTAGCGATATTGGAAACATTCGGTTTGAAATTAATCCCCTATAACATTGCCATCCTGGAACTAGCATTAAAATATTGGGCTATGGCTTCATTCAGTGGGTATGTGGGAGGAGAAAAATGTAAAGAATTTGGAGTAAGGGAAGGAGACACATTGGCTGAGAAAGGAAGATAAAATAACCGCAGAACAAGTGTGTCTGGGGTATCTGTGCACAAATTTGAGGGGGACTGGTGGGTGTTGGGTTTTGAGTTTCTTTAATCTTCATTGCCATTCCCTGCTGGAAGTTTGTTATTGGATGTGATGCTCTTTTGTAAGTGCACAAAGTCTGAACATTGACAGAATGGTTTATTTGGATGGAAAACAATCACTTACACAGGGAAATTAATGGACATGAAATTTACTCGTGATACAATGTTACCATTATGCAGTAATAATCTTTTAATGGTTTTACTGCTTTGGTTTGGTTGTCTGTTTTGTTTGCATAATGGTTAGATTTTTAAAATCTAAGGCAAAACTAAAAAGCTCAGATTACCATTTGTGTCTTGTGTATCACTCTAAGCTTTAGGATTTTGGTACTCTTATTGAACTTAGAAAGGAACTGACGGTGCAGTGATTGGGATCGCAGTTTTATGATGATACTGTTAGGTTTCTGCTTTGTTTTAAATTCTCATTAATGCTATTTTGGTATGGAATGACGGTTCAAACCTGCTTTCTCTGTAGCCAGTACTTTTGGCGCTTGTTTTTCTTTTCTTTTTTTTTTTTAATTAAATAAAATTTTGTTCTAGTTGTATGTGAGTTTGTTCCTTTGAGATTTGCTTATTGTTTAAAGTTATCTAGGTGATGGTATTCGTCGAATCTGTGAATGCTAATCTTGTGCACTGTTAGTTGGACTTATTTCTTTCTTCAAATATTACATCCAACAAGTGTCACTATATAATTGTAGTACAAACTATGAAAGACGTGCCTCATTTCTAAGTGTATTGGATATTACCAATTTTTTGTCGAAATTTGTCCCTTTTTCAGTAGTTTAACTTCATTAACGGAATGCAAATTCTGTGCCACTCTTTGCGTTATAAGAACTCGACAAGTTGTTCTGCTTGATTTGCCGTTAACTCTTTATCTTTGCTTGTTGTTTTTGGGGAAAAAATAATATGCTGGGAGGTCCTGTTTAAGTTCGGGAGATTGCAACTGGGAGGTCCTGCACTTGGGGAAAAAATAATATGCTGCCTAGTCTTTAAGGGTCCAAATCTTAGGTTAGTTTTTTATCTAACTTAACATGGAAAGGTGGTAGCCAACCTTAGTTTTATTTGTTTGCAGCTGCTTCAAGTAACTGTTTAAAACCATTATCTGTCTTATTATTTGTCTGTTCATGTCTTTTAATCTTTACTCTTTTCCAGCAACAAAGGCTTCGAGTTCTTTTAAGGACGATAAAGTTCACGATGAGGAAAACTTTGATGAATTTCTCGAAGGCATGTTTCCTTGAACGAGAGTGGTAAATGTGAAAGCCAGGGGAGGATATTAAGGTTTGTTTCGATTAGACTGTCTTACAGTTTTAACTCAGTTGCACTTATTGGCAAATTCTTAAGAATCAACCCCATGTATCAGCATCTTACAGGAACTATAATTAGCATTGATAGAAGCAAGGTTCTGATCATAAACACCCCAGGATATCTTTGGTTTACAAATTGAATGACGGCAGAACAAAATTCTGGCGTGAGGATGGGCATTCGTTTGATAATTCTCAAAATGAACAAGACGAGGAGTTCAACAACTAGAGTCTAGAGGCTGATGATCAGTTTAGTCAGGAGCAAACCAAGCCGTGAGTTCTTAGGACTTTTAGTTTTAGCAGGATTTGAGTGAATTCTACAAATTTGTAGAAGGTGACTTTATTTATACGGATTTGATTGAACTATGGATATACCATTTGTGCTTGTGATCAAATGCACATCTAGTTATGTAAATCCTCGTATCATGACGTTAAAACTTCCTTAATCAAATCGTATATACACCTTGGAGTATATATATCATAACTTTACTTCTAATATGAATAGATTAAAGAGTAAAATGTCCAAATAGTCCCTTACATTTGGACTTACTTGAATTTACATCCCTAACGTTAACATTTCAATATCGTAGTCCCAAATATTATGTTTTCAGACTTTTTTGGTCCCATTTCACTGTTTCGACTACTTTTCTGTTCAGTTCGATGTTGACTGGCTATTGACGTGTCGGAATAGGGGTGTTTTTGTCTTTTCATATAATTTAAACTTTCATTAGAATTTAAATCATTAAAAATATTATAAAAATTCACATTTATTATTTAATTGTTAAAATATTATTTATTAATTTAAAATATTATTTTAAAATTTAAAATTTAAATTATTTTTAAAGTTATTTTTTTCTTTACCATTTACTTTAATGTTAATTATGTTGCATTTTTAATCCCAATCTACTATAACTTTAAAATTTACCGAGTAATAGTAAATATAAAAAATTCAAATTAAACAAAAAAAGCAAAACCAATAAACTCTGAGTTATTTCTAAAATGTTATCATGTTATAGTAATTAATTCAAAATTCAAACTCTCTTTTTTTAAAAAATGCAAGAAAATCGTGGTGTGAAAATCCGGATAAAAAATAGTTTTTATTTAAATCTTTGGCTTAGTTATTAGTTTGAATTGGACTTATAATTTCAAATGTAGTTTTAATGAAAATTCAAAAAGTTGTTGGGATAGCATTTCAAATAAAATAATATTATTTTTACACCACCACCTCCATACCTCCACTGTCGCCGCCGGCCGGATTCCGGCGATATTCCGATCACTTGGGCGGCGGCAACACTGGGTGGTCCGGCGGGGGGCGGCGACGGTAGAGGTGGTGGTATAAAAATAATATTATTTTATTGAATACTATTCCAACAACTTTTTAAATTGACACTCAATATTTAATTATATCTCTAATTGAAACAAAAAATTAAAATAAATTATTTTTTATTTAGATTTTCACCCCTCCAATTTTCTTCCCTTTGGGTTTGTTGAATTTTTTACTTCGGCCGAATAAAAAATTAGAAGGTGAAAAATCGAATAAAAATTTAGTTTGCTTTTCCTTTTGTCTTAAACAAAAAATTGAATTTTGAATTAGTTACTGTAGTGCGGTAAAATTTTAGAGTGATACGCGGTTAAAAATAAAACGTAATTAATATTTATTTTGTATCCAGCATAAATGATAAATAGAAAAAGTAATTTTTTAAAATAATGTAAATTTTAAATTTTATAATAATTTTTTAAAATTAATAAATAATATTTTAACAATTAAATAATTAAATGTGAATTTTTTAATATTTTTAATGATTTAAATTTTAATGAAAGTTTAAATTATATGAAAAGACAAACATACCCCTGATTCTGGCATATCAACCACCGGTGAACATCGAGTTGGACGGAAAAGTGGCCGAAATAGTGAAATTGGACCAAAAAAGTGCGAAAATATAATGTTTGGAACTATGATATTGAAATGTTAATGTTAGGGACGTAAATTCAAGTATGCCTAAATGTAAGGGACTATTTGGACATTTTAGTCTAGATTAAATTTCAGGCTATTTCCCGAGTCCATGATGAACTTCATCATATCATAAACTTTGTGGCCTGCGGAAGATTAAGTGAGACTTGCGCACTGACACCCATCCACCATCGCTGATGTCTCTCTATACAGTGACACCCGTCCCTGTTATTTCCGTGCTTTCCTTCTTGCTGGTCGACCTCGCCTCCTTCCGCCGCCATAATTCTTGATGAGTATTTTCTTTGGATTTTGTAAATTTGGAGAAACAAGCATCACTTTAACTTTCAACCAGGGATCGGTAACAAAAGGAGCAATCAATCGATCGTTCTATGAACCAAATGAGTTCTAAAGCAAGAGTAATTCTTGTTTGTTTGATGGTGGAATTAAGAACAGAAGAAGATCGAAAACCCAGGAAAAAAAAAAGATAAGTCATTTCTCATGTTATAAAACGACTGAGCGACCTCAATAAATACAATTTTGATTATTTTAATTCCGATAATTTCCTTTTAGGCCAAAGCTTTTTTAATAATCCTCTTGGACTTTCATCAAAAGAATTTTCAATTTAATTAAACAAACAAAAAGAAAAGGTCATATTATAGGGTGGTTCGGAAAATTTTTTTCCCCAAAATCTAAGTGGAAAAACATTGTTTTTTTTGGTTGGACAAAAACTATGTCTATCGGAACAGAAAATATTAAAATATTATTTCTTCATATTTTGGAAAACTTTGTCAAAATATAAAAAGTAACAATCGGATTTCTCCGACCTCTCCGTCAATGTAGAATTGATTTTTTTTGGAAGAATTTTTTGTTTTTTTTTTTTTGGAATTATAATATGGGCAAATATGTCGAGTAAAAGTATTTTAATTTTAAGATTTTGAAAAAAAACATCTACTGCCCTTCATAAAAAATATTTTTTTTATCATACCTCTATTAATTTCACATTTCCCATCTCTCCTATGACAAATGTTCCCAATTTCCAAAGGGGAGAATGGATTTCAGAAATCCGAATATAGGAAATCTGATTGCAATAAATTTGCAAGTAAAAATTTATTTCGCATAAAAGTAAAAGTCAAAAATAAAATCAGAAATAGAGAACAAGAGAACATTAAATTTCGCATATGTGATACTTGGTAAATTCGGATTTGGGAAATGCGACATTAGTATTAGATTTACGCAACCTGATAGTTGCAAAACATAAAAGGAAAGGGAGATACTATAGTTTGTATTCTTTGAAGTTTTGGACGGCGTGGGAGGGAAATTTGGTACTTTGTCAGTAGGTTATCATGCTATAAGTTGCAAATTGTTATTATAAAGAGGTTAGTCACTATTGTGATACTCCCTCCGTCCCATAATTATTGTCTACTTTGCCCAAAAAATTTTGTCCCAAAATTATTGTCCAATTTGACTTTTTATGGATCAAATTACACATTTGTCCTTAGTAAAAAAAACATTATCCATAAAATCTTAGTGATTAAACAATTACTTATGTAGGGGTATATCCGGTTGTTTAAGGTAAAATATAATTAAGTTTGACCAAAAATAAAATCTTTCATTTTAATAAAACTGGACAATAATTATGGGACGGAGGGAGTATTATATTTAATAAAAGAGTTTAAAGGTTTAGGTTTTATTTATTACTCCCTCCATTCCAAAATAGATGTCGTTGGGGGAGTTGCACAAAGTTTAAGAACACAATAAATACTTGGTTAAAATACTAATCTACCCTCATTTACTTTCAATGGAATCCTATTTTCAATATTATTTAGTTCTAATATACTTCTACTTTAAATATAATTACAATTTCCCATGTAGGGGTATGTTGGAAGTAATTGACAAAACATACCTCAAAATGCAAAAACGACATATATTTTGAAAAAAATGAGTTTTCCTCCAACGACATTTATTTTGGAATGGAGGGAGTATTAGATTATTATCCGGACACTGTCGGGATGCGCGACATGTTAGAATGTAAAGATATAATTTAATATAATCATCATTTATTATACGTTAGTAGCACAAACATTTAGAGTCGATAATATTTTAAGATTTATAGAAGGTGTATATCTAACTATGTTTCAACTTGTCGTAAAGCCTCAATTCATTGCAATAAGTGCCTCCGTACTTTTCTAAGATAGCAATCAACACAAGGAAAGAAAAAAAGAAAAAGCAATTAACTACATAATATACACGATTTCTAACTCAAAAATTAACACTCTGCAATATTAGACGTTTTCTGATCTTCTACATTGGATGAGGGAGTTTGTGATTTCCCCAATTATATCACTTTGATAATGACCCAAAGATAAAACCAATGATCAACCCTATCTTCTGTTTTGATGCCTAGACAGTGTTTGCTTTCGGATACTAATTCCATAAATTTGCACATTCCATGATCCCTATTTATCATTAACGGTTACTGACCCAAGGGAACCTTCCATTTTGAAGAATCAGAAGGGCCTAATACATGTATCCCAGCAAAAACAAATATATGGAAAAACACATTAATTCAAATGGAAAAATGTTCTTACCAATTTGTCATTGTAGTTGAAAGAGAAAATCATAAACTTACCTCTCTTTTTCTTGTATTCCATCTTCTTGTCGTCGATAGTAAAACATGGCTAATACAAGAAGAAATTTGCTTCTGCCATAGTTGTATCTCCTTTAATTTTTTTCAATAACTTCGGCAGAGGTGCTGTGGTGTTTTTCCAATAGCAATATTGCTCACATTACATTGACTTGAATGATGTCAATTTGAAGAGAATCCACATGAAACCATTCCAGATTTCCAGGGATGCTTAATATAAATAGCTCATTGTTTCAATTTTGTGTGGCGGTTGAATGATCTTATCTAATCATACCAATTTCTCTGAACACAATGCGAAACCAAACTTATTAAAGGTATTAAATTTTGAAAAGATTACTATAAAAAAAAATTACACATTGGGAATTCTTACTCTAAAATTTAGACTCAAAATGTGCAAACTGAAAGTCTGAATCTCTTGCAATAAGAACCTTTGTACTTTTCCACAGAATCAACTACCTGAAAACATCCTGAAGTAATTAACATTTGTGGTTTCCAACTCAAAGTTAACATTTTGCAAGATTGACTTTTACCATGGATGAACTACCAAGAAATAATTCGCCACACATCTATTCTTGGAAAAAACACTATGAAAATCATTGTGAGATGTTGTTGTTGTTTTTTTTTTTTTACTGTAAAGATTTAGTTAGAAGAATAAATTTTTAATTAGGATTGAGATTTATCTAGATTCTTTTAGTTGAATTAGCTCTGGAGATTTTTTAGTATTTGAGCGTAGAGTTTTAGAGATATTTTAGGAATTTAAGAGTGATCTTCTACTTTTAGTTATTATAGAGTTGTTTATATATTAGACTTCTCACCAAATAAAACACAACCCTTTTCTGATAAAATTTTTACGTTCTTAAAATCTCTATTCTTTTCTCCTCTCTTTCCCAAAAAAGTGGTATCAAGAACTTAGTTTCAATTTGAGGGACCTGTATAAGTGAATCAGTGAGGACCTTTCTACACAA